AGCGATGCACTTGTTCCTAGTAGCTTATTGTTTCTAATGGCTTCTTGATACTACTAGTAAGGCACTTGTTACTAGTAGCGTGGCACTTGTTTCTAATAGCTTCTTGTTACTACTAGTAAGGGACTTGTTACTAGTAGCGTGCCACTTGTTTCTAATAGCGAACCTTGTTGCAAGAAGCAAGGCATTTGCAACATAATCGTGAGTATTTAGCCAAGTTGAGCAACAAGGAGCAATGATGCGAAAGACATCTGTCCAACCATCCTTCACCAAACAGCTCCGATTTCCGCTCCGAGCATGAAAATGATGCCGTAAACCCCGGTCCGGCCACTGAGTCGTAGCTTGGCTTCAAAGCTCAGCTTGGACAAAAGCAGCACGGCGCGACCCGTGAAGCTGGGCCTCACAAGGTCTGAGTAAGCCAGTCGTGGTGCCAGTGGGGATGAAGAGTTGATGTTGTGACCTTGTGGATCCGGGATTATCATGAAATGATGGCTCATACTTTGGGGTTCTTAGGAGTTACAATCCCCAGGAAGTAAACTGGGTGTAACAAAGGCTCTCCTGCCTGTTGAGGTCGTGAAGGGCATCCGTCCACTGCTTTTCCCGAGGCCAACCACGTGCATGCTGGATTGCGCAAAAGCAAAACTGGTTCAATCTTTGGTTAGGTTGTCTTGAATTGTTTTGAACCGGATCCAAATTGTCCATCCAAATATTGTCCAAATTTATCCAAACGGGTTGTTTAAACTCCAAAAAGGAAGCTCATGCTCCGCTGCACAAAGAGACAGGACACGAAGCGGCCAAGGGGCGTCTCGGCATCTTGCAACCAACCTGGGTCGGCTCGAGGCTTCTGGGGTCTTAGGACACAGAAACCTTCCGGCGTCTCCTTTCCTCTGCTGGCCCTTTGAGTTTCCAACCGTGAGCTTTCCTTGCTACAAGCAGATGTAGATCCCCGTTGGTCAGCCGACTCGACTTTTTCGTTGCTGTTTTACATGTAAAGACAATTCAGTTCCCCTAAAAATCTAAGGAACCAAATCGTTAGTGCGAGCGCTTCTTCAAGGAAGCTCCACCCTGCCCTCAGGCGGGGTGAGCTTCCTTGAAGAAGTGTGAGCTATCCTGCGACCTGCTCCTAAGGAGCGAACTCTAGTCGCCTCCTACTGAATTGAGTAGGTGCAGGTGCCTACTTAATTAAGTAGGAGCGGGCAAACAAAAACAAACAAACCGCGTCGGCCCAGTGAGGAGTGAGGCGGCCCCACCTTGAAACCGCCGCTTGCCCACGACCATACGCTCGGTGGCCACGGAGCCTTGGCTAAGGGGTGACGGACATTCATGGTTTTTGGGGCTTTCCTCATGTGAGTGATGGTCAACTTGTGAAAATGTAGATGTGCAGAGGTGAAGATGTGAAGATGTAGATGAGACGTAGTTCTGCAGATGTTTTTTTTACGAAGAACCCTTCGCAAACGCTCTCGGGAAAAACGATGGGAATGTTGGAATCCAAACCCTCCAGTGTGTGTTGAACACATCGAGGTGCAAACTCATCCGTGTTTCTTCGGCGCCCGTTTTGTCTGACATCAGTTCTGATGCCTGAAGAACACCGTCGGGTCTGGCCTGGCCAAAGGGTCAGCATAGGCACGTCCGGGAATTTTGTGCTAAGGGCCAGCATCATCCGGTCGTAGCAGGCCTGGTGTCTCATTCCACGAGAACTCTGCAGCTGTTTCGACCGCGGGAACGACGAATCGCAACTTGAAGGATTCAAAGAGTTGATGCTCGCTAGTAGCTTATAGTAGCTTCTTGTTCCTAGTAGCGAACATTGCTCCTAGTAGTACGGCCAGGAGCCCCTAGTAGCGTCCTTGCTCCCAGTAGCGATGCCCTTTGCTCCTAGTAGCGTCCGACTGTTCGTGCTTGGATTCATTGAGTAGTGGCGACATGTCCTCGCCTTGTTCGCGTGATAGGAGACTGGAAAAACCTCAGGTGACTCACAGTGATCACTTGCTTTTGAGCACGATCGGCAAACGGGAAAGCCCAAGGTGGAACTGGATTGGGAGACACATGCAGCATCAAATCATCTTAAAAGAGCATGTCCAGCTCCAAATGCATGTGTCCCAAAGGCTCATGGACCCTCAAAGTGCTACAGTACATGTTCGATCATGTTCGTTCGGCCCCAAACTTACCCTGGTTGTGAGGGTCTTGACATGTCACAACGCTAGCGAACTGAGGATATCCAATGAGCCTTTGGGTTAAGTTTGCCCCAAAATCTTTAAAAGATCTAGGAACCAAATGAATAGTGGGGGCGCTACTCTGCGTCCAAATGTAGTAGCTACTTAAGCTACAAGTACTAGCTACCTCTCCCTTACAAAATTGCGTAAGCGCCTACTCAATTAAATAGGGAGATGGGGAGCGGGCTGAAAAATAACATATAATATATCATATACTATACAGTAATTTTTTGTTATGATTATATAACTATAACTATAACAAAAAAACGGAAAACACATGAACACACAGCTGATCGCTGAGACCTCAAGTGAGTCTCTCCATCATTTCTCTGAACATCAGGGTGGCCAGCCCAAGACACGTGATAACCAAGCCAGCATATTCTTGAATGTATCTGTAGTTTGGCTATATTTCCAACTTTATAATATAGTAATAACATATTTAGAACATATTTGAAGTATATAGTTGTGTCGGAAAGCCAGTTCCACTGAAACCACAACTGCTCCCCCTTTCGACCCCAAGTTACTTGCTCTCTTCACGCGATCGATTTGACGAAACACCGAAGGGGGGCTGACATCTCCAAGGAGCATCGGTGTTGCCCTGTGAGCCGGCCGAGCTGACCTCAGGAGTCACGGAAGACCGTGACACACCCAAGTTCTTAACAGTGCGTTGCCTTCGAGGATGAGTGGTCCGAAGATACCGGTTGGAAGCTGTTGTTCTGAGCGTGTCTTCCAGGCATCCGAGCTGAACCCGAGGGAGATGAAAAACCCATGAAGCCCGAAGAATTCGCTGAGCTTCGCCCGCTTCGGCAAGGCAACCTGAAACCTCATGTACCCGGTTCTAGGATTCCAAAGTTCACCGAATGTGCACCTTCATCCAACGAACTGGTACAGATGGACGCTACTAGGGGCTGGCCTTACTGCTAGTACTAGGAACAAAGGGCATCGCTACTAGGAGCAAGGACACTACTACAGAAGGGCGTAATGGGTCAGTTGGATTTGGGGGGGTTGCCAAGCCACACTGATGACGGTACCGCGAGCCCGACTCAGCAAATGGCGGCATGACCTGAGCGCCACGTGTGTGAGGTTTCAGTAGTCTTGAAGCCCTGATGAGGCTTAATGAGGTTTATGGAGAACAATGGAGAGAACCTATAGTAATGCATGACACATAAAAATAACCACAATAATAGCTCCCATTGTTTTGCTCGTCAAAGCTTTCTGAACTGCCAGTGCTTAACTCGGCTGCCGCACAGTGTCAGCACCACGTGATTCCGTGCTCCAATACAGAACTGCTCATCGAAGAGCCTGCAATTCTGATTAGCACGCCTCTGACTTGATTGACCCAACATGAATGTAAACAAATGGGACCTACGTGATTGCAGGTCAAACATCTGTAACCCCACAGGACCTGACCTTTCACGAAGGCCCTTTCATCAGCTTCTCTGCTTCCAACCTAGGTCTCAAGATATTGACGTCTAATTTTGACATATTTGCATCTTCGCACTGTGCAAATTCATAGTGACTTTAGAAACGGACATCTGACACCATTCAATGATTAGTCCCAGGTAGTCCCAGAAGTAGTACGACATCTGTGAATCTTTGTAACAAAGGTCAAACGCATTGATCAAACCACCTCATCCTTGGGAGGTGCGAACATGACTGGCAGTTCCACAACGGCCTGCATGGTTGCTTCCAAACAGGAGTCGCAAAAAAGAGCGTATCTGGCTTTGGCATGAAGAAGGCATTGTTCACCTCAAGCCGACCGCCTTGTGCCAGAATCCAAGGTCCGACCGGCCGTGACCGGCCCAATTGGAACGGGCGCTGGTCATGAAAATTGGAGTCTCAGTCTCAAGGACTCAAGGACCACATGGACCCTAGAAAACTGGGTGGTAGAACAGTACTGGTCAATTTTTGTGTTTCGTCTGGTAGAAAAGATCTTGTGTCCTGGTTGAAGAATAGGTCTGTGGTCGGATCGACCTTCTTGTGTAGTTATAGCCGTTTCATCCACAACCACTAAGTTGTTGCTCTATTGCTGAAGACCATCTGTTCAAAGATCTGTCTGTCTGTGAAGATGGTTCAGGGATGTCCGGGGCATTTTTTGCACCCTCCACCCACCTTTCAAATTCACTTATCCAATACAAGTGGATCACTTGCTTCCACCCGGCCAACCCCTGGCCATCGCTCAGTGGCCGACCAGCAAATCCACTCGGCCATGGGTCTCCTCTAAGATTTTCACCAGCCTCGGTTGCCCAAGAGGGGACATCCGCCATCCCAAACACTCCATGGATGGTATGTTTGCCTACAGTGGGGTGGTTTGAGGGATCAATGGCAGCATATATTCCAAAATTACATGGAGTGTCTGGGTATAGCATGCTAAATATGGGTTTTGCTTGGCAGTGCGTGCGCCGCATGTGGTATGACAAAGAATCTGCAGGAAGAGTGTTGGTCTGGCCACAAGGGGTCCAGTCAATAAAGCAGCAGCGTTGCAGAACCTGTTGTCTTTCCAGGACGGCCAAACAACATTTGGAGGGAAGAACACCATCCAAGACGACATTTAAGCCTCTTTAAGCTCAGCATCCACCTGTGCCTCTTAGGAGCAAGGACGCTATTAGGGGCTCCTGGCCATACTACTAGTAACATCTAGTAACAAGAAGCGATTAGGGGCTCCTGGCCTTACTACTTGGAGCAAGGACGCTATTAGGGGCTCCTGGCCTTACTACCTTTAAGCTCTTCAGCATCCACCTGTGCCTCTTAGTCTAAGTCACTTCCGCACATCAACGTCTAAGGTGTGATCCACATAGGCCGGGACGCCTGTGCCGTTGGAAAAACGAGCACCTGTAGTAACAATAAAGCTTTCTAGATCTTTCTAGTATGTCTTTGAAGCTTCTTAGTAACAAGAAAGCTTTAGAAGCTTCCTTGGGAATTGCTTCACTGGGAATCGTTTCACCGGGACGCCTGTGCGGCTGGAAAAGATTGGAGTATCATCTGAATCATCTGTCCAGTGCAAGGCACTGCTTGGCTTGCTCTCGATGTGTCTTTGGAGCCATCGGCTTAGTACTGTTGTGGGAGCCTAGTCGCAAAATGTCCTACATCATCGAGCAACACTTGATCCGTTTCTCCTAGTCGTTTCTCAAATCAAGAGATTCACAATGCCATTATGCTGGAGGGCGTCTTTGTACTAAGAGTGCTTTATCAATCTACCTAAAGGCAAGGTGTTTTGCACATTCTAGCAGCTTCGATTGTCGTAATTCCTCGCAGGGTAACACATCGGGGTTTACGTACTAATCAAACCAAACGAGCGACAGCCTGGCCTGCGCCCCCGCGCCGCGTGGCTTGTGCCGCTGTCTCATCTACAGATCCCGAAAGCAGGACCTGGCATGGCGAAAAGCCGGACCTGGAGTCCCCACATCGGTTGGCACCTGTAGGCGTCGTGATGGGTGGTCGACACTGATCAAGGCCCAAACACCTTTCAAAAGGAGAATGGACTCATTCCGCTTGCGGCATGGCGCACTTCTCCAGACATGTACTACAAGGATGGGTGTGTTTCTTGACCATTGACCAGGCCCCCAGAAACTTATGTCAGATCGCCAAGCACCCGACTGTGGCAAGAGGGGTGACTAGGTAACCACACAACATCATCACCTGTCACCTGATGACGCCCCTCGAATCGACCCGGACACAGATCGATTCGCCTCTGTCTGTCGAAAGGACGTTGATCGACCAGTGATATAAACGATGCAACCTGCGACAGTCAGGAGACAGCGGTGCAACGGTGCAACAGTCTTCTCGGATCATCTTCTCTGGATCAATCGGCTTCTGAGCTATGAAAGCCTCCCAATACAGATCTCATTCCCATTGAATCCAATTGATACAAGTCGGCAAATCAGGACCTGGTCATGACTGCAGTATTTACACCACCTGTCTTGTGGACATCTCCATTTTTGCCAGAGTCAGACCACACATCAACACAAAGCGATTTCTAGCATGCTACAAGAAAGCAGCACCCAATCACCTTCGGAGTGTGCTAGAGCCTGAGTCGATGTTTGGATTCCTCTTCAATATCCTTTTCTTGCACACTCCATGGCAATTGAAGCAAAGTCGTGCACAGTGCTCCTTCTCAGTTGGTTGAAAACTGACTGCTCAGTAGAAGGCTCAGATCTTTTGAAAAGGGGTGCACTTGGCACCGTACTTAATTAAAGCTTGGACCCATCTCAGGCCATGGTATATCACCCATCGTGCAAGTGATTTGCCTGATGGTGGATTTCGCATTGCCACCTAGGCTGCGATGAAGGCGGCTGCACTCTGCGCAACTTCTTCACCACCAGCTCCCCGGCAAATGTCAAAGACACAGTCAGCAAAGATCTCTGGGTGATTGCCATCCCTCTGAAGGTGTTTGCCACAAATCGTTTCTGCTTCTCGCTCTGCCACTTCGGTACACGTCATGCTGAGAAGTGAAGCTGTAGGTTGCATCTTGGAGTTCAAGTAGGTTTCTGCAGCTTTGCTGCCACCCAAGGTCACCCATGTTCCAGGTGCCTGAAACTCGCACGAACACGTATGGCTTCATGGGGATGAATCACAGACTTTACACTGCTGCTGAACATGGTCCACAAGGAGAACTGTGTATCCATCACCTGCTTTTTCACCACCACGAAAACCCTTATCCTCTTTGCAAATACTCGGGTCTTGACCCACTATGATCGAGTTTGCAGCGCCCAGTGTTCCAAAAACAACATCCGTGTCCTGCCTGAAAGTTGTCGTCGGTCTTCACTTTCACCGATAGCTTGGAAGAGAAGAAGCTCAAGTGGGACTCCTTGCCCAAGGTCGAAAGAAACACTGTTGGAGGGTGAACAAAGTAGATCAAGGGTAGCAACAGTATGAAACAGTGGTACTTTACACCGGATGCCCTAGATTCCATTTCCTTGATTTCCTAGATTCCATTGACTTCGCAGGAATATCTCCTGCCTTTGACCCCTTAGATTCCACATCATCCACCATGGCTCCTTTTCATCCGGCGTAGCTCCAATTTCACCACCCGCATGCTCCATATCATTCCTTCGTTTGGCAAACATCTCCACAAAGGTCATAAATTAAAGGAAGCTCTTGTGCACCACCAACAGAAACCCACCCTTGATCGCACACCCAAGCCATGGATGTCATCCAATCCTCATTTTTGGAACCTACATAATACTAAATCATATATAAAGCAATCAGATCTGATGCGAATCAGTGATTCTTGTCATACATGCTGATCTTGAAGTCCATGTGATCATCTGGTTTGCAGTGGACCAAAAGCCTTGCCACCTTCCGCGGTCCATGCTCTGATTGCACGTTCAGCATGACCTCGGATTCCATATTTAGGAAGTTGTTCGTGTCTTTGCCGGTTTCCTTGACATCAAAGTTCGCACCCTCAGTGGACAACTCAGTCTGTGCCAGTTGGCGCCAGTCGGACTCGTGCGCTTTTTGCTGCCATGCGCAGTCCTGTGCAGTCAATTCCATGGTGCGTCCTGAGTTCTTTTCCAGAAGCAACAGGCCTTGAGTAGTGAATCCAGACCCGGAGTAGGAAGCCAGGAGCTGCATGTCCACCGAACCCTTGGAATAGCTCCAGGCCACATAGTTGCCTGGTTTCAAGAGGCTGTAGTGATCTCCCAAATGGTGGAAATGTGGGGGTCACCGTCATCACCTCCAGTGGAGGTAGTGCTGGTGCTCGGCCAAGCAGTTGTGAATGTGGTGAATGCGCTGGTTGTGAATGTGGTGAATGCGCTGGTTGTGAATGTGGTGAATGCGCTGGTGGTGAAACTGGTGGTGGAAGTCCTCTTCCTGATGCAGCAGCAAATCCTCTGATTCCCCGAGGCAGCACTAGCACTGCATCGTGAATCCGCTGCGTTTTGAGGAGCTGAATGACGACACTTGTTGGTGCCTGATGCTTTGTGAAAGAGATTTCTATCAAATATGAACATCAACCCCACCCAAGCAAAGTAATTACGTATATTGCTATATAATTGCACATTGACGAAAAAAGCAGCTCGTTTGAAGGGCAAACGTTGATGAAACAAAGAACAACACAATAGAACCATTCCAAAACACCACCCGGCCTCGGGTAATATACGGGGCAGACTTGTGCAAAGAAGGTGTGGAAGCACCGCTGCATCTTCGCCCAAGGCTTTGCACCACGGTGTCCAAAGCTGCACCTTGAAGTCTCTTCTGGGCACTTGGATCGCATTTACTCGGTGCGCAAGCGCGAACGCAGTTGCCTCCTGCAGTTGGAGGCCGTTTCTTTTCAAAGGCTGGCGGAGGTTTTTTTTGAACAAACACAACTTGCCCAAGTGCGTGGTTTGACGACTGGCATTCTGGTTTGTTTTTTTAATCATGTTGGACTGGGTTTTCAACCAAACGATGCAGTTTTCACGTCAGTCTGTGTCCTAAAGCGCTCAGCTTCCAAGTGCATGTTGCTCGAGCGGTCACTTGGAGAATCGAGACATCGTCGCAGCCAGGTGCCGAGCAATTGCCAGCGCCCTGTCGCGGAGCGACTGAGGGATGCGACCCTATGGGATTTGCTCAACATTTTTTGAGCCTCATGGATTGCACTGCACCATGTGAATATATACTATAAGTATCTATAAGTCAATTGTCCTGTATCTTCTTTTTCACTCCAACACCGCTAGCCTGACGGATTGTCGCGACTTGTTTTTTTGGGCAATTGGGAAACGCCACGGAGATAAGTCACCAGCCAGAAGACTGATGGATAATGATGGACCTTGGATAGTTACCTTGACAAAGGACACCTTCAATATCGGTTGCCTCAAAAGAAACAATTCGGATCGCTCCAAGGCTTTGCTGAAAAAGGCCTGAGAGGACGCAAAATGCATCAACATCGCAGCCATTGCCATCACGGCCATGGCCATTACGAAGTAAACACAAACACTGCGGTTTCGACCTTCAAAACAAGTGGCTTCGGCCGCGCAGGTGGCGCAGGTGCTTGGAAACTTGGATGAATGCCCAGCTCTGTGGGCACAAGTCAACCCCATGACAAGTAAGATGCATTTGGCATTGTTGAGGCCTGTTGAGGCATGTCGAAGGTTGGTATCTCCTGTTGAGGCAGGAGGTTTCACAAGTCCTACTGAGCTGTGGTGTGCCTAACATGATCCAACAACAAAAACAAAATGCCTGAGTCAATGGTTCAATGAATGACCTTGTTTACCCTCCCGAAAAGCTAGCAAAGAAACTGTTGAAAATCCACAAACTCTTAACCTTTTCTTTCCTTGTCTTCAGCCTTTGTCATCTGATTCGCCTGGCTCCTTTTGTTCAAATCTGCGCATTGAAACAACAAACACGAGACGACAGAAAACTGCTTTGTCTCTTGAGAATAACAGAACTCGGTGTCTCACCATGACACAACAGAAAACAAAATAAACACCCGTCGTGGCGCGGCAGGGCCGTTCAGCGGTGCCTGCCGCAGCCAATTCCAAGGCAATGCCTTTGCCAAGGCCACGGGATCCACCGGTGACCACTGCCACCTGGCCATGCCTTGTCGGCTGGTGAGGACACAGGACACGTTCGAACGCAATGGGAAAGGAGAAGGTTGACAGCCGAGGGGACGGCGAGGTAAACCTTGGAGGCGAACATTGTTTGATGGGTTTTACGCGGTGTTTTGTTGGATGTTGACCGTTTTTCACTGTAGTTGATCTTCCTTTTATCCTGCATCATTATGTTTGGAAGTAGCCCAAATAAGCATCGACACCTATGCTTCTGAGAAGCCTTTAAACACTAGTGAAGCAGCATCTTTCTATATCGGACAAGCTGCAAGGCGTAGGATGGCACGCTGCCCATCATGGGAACCTCAGATGCTCTCGTGATCTTTTGACAACGAAGTAGACGCTTCAATCTGCCTTCAAAGATCTTCAAAGTGACTTTGACCCTTCTCTGGGTGACAATCTTTCTTGGCTGATTCTCCATCCGCTCTCACCCAGCTTGCCAAGCTGCCATGAAGGGAGTGCATTTGCTCTCCAGACCTGCTCCTGTTGGGCAACTTCGTCAAACAGCTCGATCGAGCTGGACATGGGGATCGAGCTGTGCTGGAGAATGGTCTCCAATTGTTTGGGCTCCCGCTTGGGCCATGACCCCGAAGCTCCAGGGGATTTCTTGCAAATCGTAGTCGTTTACAAGGATACTAAAGTTAAAGAAGTGAGTCCCCAAAACTCCCCAAAAAAGACAAGAGGTGTGAAAGAACATGGAAGATTCTTCTTTTTGGAGCCCCTCCGGTCGCGTAGATCTTCCTGCTTCCCACGCCTCGCAGGCACTGTCCCAGTGGTGCAGTGGGTCCGGGATGCCGCGATGGAGCAAACATCGAGGCCAGACATCGTTCGATGCTGCCGGTGAAGGGCCCAGGTTCTCTTCACGCAATATAAATGAAAAGTGAAAAGTGTGAATGTTTTTCATTTATTTTTGCGGTGTCCGTATCACAGCACCTTTAGCCATTCAGATTTGCAAGCACGTCATTCGGATTTGTGCACCTGTTTGGCAGTCACTTGTTGGAAGATCTGCATATGTATCATTGTCATAGCCTAACCCAAATGGACCAAAAGGCTGTCAAAGCTTACAGAGACAACCAACGTCTGGCAAAAAGAACAGGGTTGTAGGTGTTGTCTAGTTTCTTCACTAGGTGTCGCAGAAAGTCCAACCAGAAACGTCTTGATTGATGAATTTCTGCTTGCAAACACAGAGATGTACTGCCGATCTCGGTCTCTTTATTTATGATCTCCAGGTGAATCCTCGCAGACTTTCGGAAAAAACAAATAAACATCATATCATAGAATATTTAAAGCAAACAACAATTGCACGAACCTTTACATGGACAATGTCAACCACCAATGACCGTGGTGGGCTGGAGTGGTTTGGCTGTCATATGCTTTCATCCGCACCCTTGGTATTTGGATGTGATGGTTCAATTAGTATCAAAAGTGTCACAACCGCAGAAAAAATGCACCGAGATCTTGAACCTTCTGACATCTTTTGATGATTATAAATGAAAGTGACAAGGGTTCCGGGATATCAGCCCCAAACAACCACCACAACCTACGGAGTGGGAGGTGTTCGGAAAGGTATCTTATTGTGTGGAGAACCCTGGCACGGGTTGGAACACGACGGGGAACACCGGAAGGGTTGGTACCCGTTGTGTATGGCAGAGTGGGTTTGGGGAGGAGCACCTACGGCCACCTACAACACAAACCCGAATGCACGAAAGGCACGAATTGCAACGGAACGGCGGGCGAGGTCGACCGACGTACCGGAAGCTGAAAACACGCAAGTGCTTGTTTTCTTGAGCCATAGCGACGGTCGGAACGAACGTCGAAACCTGTACATGAACACATCATGACACAGCAAGTTAGGGGTTACCACTGTATGTGATATTTTGACTCCCCCCTCGCCGCTTTGCGAGTCATGGGTTCACTGTACATGCATTAATTACCGCGCATTGAGCAGCGGTTTTGGTACCTACATCGGCTCCTAGCGAAAGGCTTCGATCCCTAAGGGATGGCTTCGGCTCGCGAATATCCGTACGTATGCCAAGAAGGCACAAAGCCTTGTACCACTTCTGTGGTGGCAGTGCTTTTGTAAAGATGTCGGCGGCCTGTTCGTTGGTGTCGATGTATTGCACATTGATGCATGGGTCATCGAGGCACTCTTTTAAAGATGAGAGGTTTATCTTGTGTGTCCGGCCGATATGTCGAAGTTTGGGGGAATACCCTTTACGAACGACTATGATGGTGGCTTGATTGTCCTCGTGGATAATTAAGTCCACCGGCCTCTGCAAGAGTTTCTCCCAGAGCTGGAGAGCAGGTATGCCCTCCTGGTACAAAGAGTGTGCCAAACTTACCACTTCTGACTCCGTGGTGGAGCGTGAAGTGGATGTCTGTCTTTTCGAGATCCATGCAAGTGGGAAAAATGTGTTAGGACCTTTTAGTGTTAGGAAGCCGCCTGAGGTTGACTTCACGTCACCGGAATCGCCTCCGAAATCCGCATCGACATATAGCTCAAGCCTGAGATCCTTCGCATCATCTTGGCAAGAGGCGGTCAGTCTGTAGTCTAACGAGTATTGGAGGTATTGTATTAGCCTTAACAACTTCTTATCGTGCACTCGGGTCCAGGCTTGGACCTTAGTTGCTAAGTCGTTAATGGGCTTAAGGATATCCGGTCTAGACAGGCGGGCCAACCAAAGGGCCTTCATTAGTATTGAACATGCTTTGGGGGCGAGTTCTCCAGGAGAGTCCTCGTCCTCCTTTGGCCATGTTCCATCGGGGATAAAGGGTGTTTGTGCAGGTTTGATTTTATCGACTTTAGCAACGCTTTTATAAAGGTCTATGGTCTGTTGGGCATAGTCCTTCATGTCGAAAATCAATGCATCGGGAGCCGCGCCTAAAGCAGCGTTCTCCTCACCCTGTACTTTGTCGAAACTGGCATAAACATGATTTCTTCCGAGGATTCTATAAATGGTTTCGGGAGGCTCTACGTTTACTTCTGACATTATTTGGTTCCAAAAGGGAGCATGGTGCTCGGATGGTCCGGATAATGTCAAATCGTCTACGTACGTAGATAACATGAGACCTGTCCCTTTGAAATAAAAATTTCCGGGGTACTCAGGAATCTCCTCACCGTTCATTTTCTTTAAAATCCCCTTTAAGTGGTTTTCCCACATTCCGCCTGCATCGGGATGTCCATATAGTGCCCTCACTAGAAGTACAACTGGACGGGTGAATTTTCCCTTCCACCACTCCGGGCGGAGTTCAGGTGGAAGTTCGATCCACGTTTTGTACTTACTTTTGAGAAAAGCTTGAACATAGGCCTTCACGGCGTCTGCCGCCGTGCAGGCATGTCCCGGCAAGGAGCCGTAGGCTAAACAAGCGTTTAAGCCCTGTACGGAGGTTGGGTTCGCGCCCAACTCCTCGTAGACGGCGGCGACGCCATTCTCGTCGCGCGCACAGTCGCCGCGATATACTATACGCCCCTTCATTTTGTGGAGGTGTTCAGCCAATTCCCAAAATTTAATTGAGGCGATAGTCATTAGACGGCCAAAGTGTACGGACACTTTGCTAGCCTTTGCTTCAGCCTTGACTGCATCATATTCTTGAACCGAATCAAGATCCCATGTGCCGATGTCGGTCAGGGATGTTGCTTCTTCCTTTACTTTCTCAACGGCTTTAGGGTTCGCTAACATCTCTGCTCTAGAGAGCAACTTAGTTACCATGGCATGCACCCTACCGTGATGTTCAGGATCTTCAGGAATATCGAATGCATTTCGAACGAGAGTTTCCAAATCCATCAGGCATTCTGCCATCTGGTTTGCAACTTCGTCGGTTTCGACGGCCAATGCGAACGTATCGGCTCCTGCAAGTGCGGAGATGTGTTTCAAAGATTGCTCTTTCACCCTGTGATCCTCTTCCCGCGCCTGGGAGGCAGCGGCTGGGATTACACATGGCATGGCTGGGGCTGGAGCGAGATTACCCTTTTGGGGGGTACAAAGCTCTGGCTATTTCGCCTACCAATTGTGGAGGGTAAAAGGCGGTCTTTGCGGTCTGAGACCCAACCGCGTGATCGTGTTCATGTGGGGAATGCGTGCACCTATGCTGCGAAAAGGCATCTACGATGCGCTGGCTTGTCGTCATGAGTCTCCAGGTCTTCTTAATGGGTCTATCCTTAGTGGATATAACACCTACTGCGCAACCATCAAACTCGACTTGTTGGAATTCTGGATGCGAATCAAAGAAGGAGTTGACGTCACGGCGACTCCAACTCTCGCAGCCCTTTGGCCATTCAAAGGTCACAGTGCCCCCCCTGCTAAGGACGATCCCTGCGCTTCTTTCGAATTCTGCGAAAAGGCGCTTGGACTCACGGACCTGCTGTGCGTGTACACGGGCAAATCGTGCACCTCCCTTGGACCTGTTGACTCTTTGCCATGGGGACCCTGAAGTACAGGGTATTGACGCCCACAGGTCTGGCACCTCCTCACAGGTCTCCAAATGGTTATGGAGTTGGTCCTGCATGTCGGCGTTTGTCAGGTCGAGGTGTTCCTTGCTTAGGGGTACATGTGGGATTCCCAACTCTAGACGTGTCTTATGCATCTGAGAATCAGGGGCACACGCAAACTCGAACATACAACGGTTGAACTCAGGTGGTCTCTTCTTACCTCTACTTCTCTTCTTCTTAACTTGACCTACTTGTGATGCTTCGGTCATGGCAGGCATTCCGAACACAGGTACGCCACTTTCGGGTCTAGTTTGTACTAGTTGGGTCCTATATGTGGTGTGCGGGGTTATCGAAAGGCCGGCTATTATCGTCGGCGTAACGCTGGCATCCCCTGGTGCCTCCGGCAGAGGGTCCGCTGGCGGTGGTGAAGGCGGATCTTCTGAGGCTACAGGAGGAATTTCTTCAATAGTGATTCCTTCCTTTCGCTTTGCCAAAAGTTCGGCCTTCTCCGCTTCAACAAGTCGTGCGAAACGCTTTCGGCATTCATCGGTGTGATGACGTGTCTTGCGCTCGCAGGCCTTGCAGCCTGGGGTTTCGCTGAATCGGATTACTCGATCTAGTGTTATGTACACACTTCGGGACTTAGGCCCTACGGGCGTCGGCGGCGCAGCGCCTTCACCCTCTTCCCCAAAGGGAACCTCTTTCATGGGATAGTCGGGCATGTCGAGTTTGGCAATGTCGTCCAAAATGCCTAACGAACCACCATGGAGATGCCTCAACTTCGTTGACGCCATGGGAAACGGGCGGTCCCTCCTCTGTGTAGATTTCGGCCTCAGGCACATCTAACACATTTGGGTGCTTACTAACTTTAAAATCCATGTAATCCATGATTCTAGCTACATAACGATAACGGAAACCCGACTCGATGCGCCATCCCATGAAGAGACCAGGCGACATGTTTGGCTCGAGAGTCCTCTTGCTTACCTTGCGATCTCGGTAATACACTACCTAGACATTGCTATGGCATGGTTTTTTTGGTCGGCCAAAAAAAATTGGTCGTTACCAATTTTTTTTGAGCGACCAAAAAAAATTGGTTTTTCAGGGGCTCTTCTGATTGCGCTAGATTGTCTGCGGAAACATGGCCAATGGAGATGCATGCATGCAGGCACGCATACTATAATGCGAGGATTTGCCCTTCTCGAGCCAAGTGCGCAGCGGGACTATAAAAAATCGGTTTTTCACACCACGAAAAACCACAAAATATAAAAGACCGGGAAACCAAAACTTCTAAACGGGAAACCGAATCTCCGGAATATTTTGAAATATCACGATAACGGCTCACCGGCCCCAAAAAGAAACGGTTTTCTGTGATCCCCCGCCTTCGAAACCACAACCTGGAGAAGAAACGCGAAACCCCAACGCAAACCCAC